TATAAAGCTACGCATGCTGCTAGAACATGTCCAAGTCACAAACGTTATCGCCAATGCTTAATCGAGGGCGAAATTAAGTTGAACCATAAAATCCAGTTACGTAACAGATGGTGGGCCCACGTTACCGAGAAAAGATAGATATTGGTGGACCCACCTCTTGAACAAGAAACAAAAGGTCGGCTTCTTTGTTGTGTTAAATCACCTTTATAGGATGGTAGACCCACAGGGCCCAGACATACGAATATTTAGAGTATAGAGCATGATTGTTTCGTATGCACCAGACCGATTTGTCACCGTCGAATGTTGTCGTACGTTAGGCCATCGCTATCGTTCGTGCTCGCTTTGGTAACGAGCCCTTGCGATGTGCGCATGTGATCTAATATTTTAACTAGATGATGATCTGCCCATTGCATCGTTATTTTTTTTAATTAATTAATTATTGAAATAAAAAGTAATACGCTTCATTTTGATCTTACTAATATGTACGAAAGTATTAATATTTTTTAAAAAATAAACATGCAGACAGTTTATTTTAAATTTATTTTTAAGGTGACCTTTTAAATGATATAAGAATATAATGTAAATAATTTTTTTTTTTTTTGTGAAGTAGAAATTATATCTAACTATTAAACTAATTCCAATATTTCTAACAAAAGACAATTAAAATAAATAAATAAAATAAGGTATTATCTTACGTGATATCACCAGAGTTATGCCAAATCTCCAAAATTCTAAGAAAAAAGATGAATAGTTGAAGCTTATCCAAATCTTTGAAATTTAATATATATTTATATATGGATATTAAATTCCAATCATTTAACGGTTGTGTATAGAGAGAGAGAGCACATACATGCATACAGGCGTATAATTTTTTATTTTAAATATTTTTTCTATACATCGAAACTCATTTTTTTGTCACGTTCAAATAGATAATGAAAGGCTGATTTAACAACAAGCAGAAAATTAGGAAAAATATAATAAAAGATTAGTAACTCAAATAATAAAATTAATAAAATAATATTGAGCATAAAAAATACAGATTTCTCATGAAAAAAAGATGAATTTAAATGGGTCAGTCGAGCTTAACATGTGATCAGGTATACCTGGAAGGCTAAGTTTTTATTTTTTACCAACAAACGTGGATTTTAGAAACTACTGAACAAAAACAGTCTGCATAATTTAGGAATTATCAAGATTTGATCCTTGTACTCTTTTAATTCTTTTATTAGAGTCCCCTACCCTTTTTGTTATTAATTGAGTCCTTTTATGTTTTATGTTGTTCAATAAAGGTCCTTCCATCACAACATGGTGAGTTGGTACACCTACATGATACCTTTCTGTTAGAGTAACTCTTTCATTTCTAAAATTATGTGATTAAAGAAATAAGAAAATGCAAAGGAAACATGTAAAAATTAATTTACTTTAATTAATTAGGTTCGTTTAGATTATTTTTTCTTAATTAATTTACTTTATTTTAATTATTCAATTTTCACCTCAAACGAAAAAAAAATAAAGAAAATTAAAGAGTTACAACATTGTGGATTATTAAGAATTTAAATTAGTATTTTAACAGAAAAATGTCATGTAAGCATACAAACCACAACATTATGATGTAAAAACTCTTACATAACAACATAAAAACAGTACAATGACTTTATCAATACGGAAAAAAAAGAATAAAATGTTTCAATAAAAAAAATAAAAAAAAATATAAAGTTGAATAAAACCCTTATAATTTATTCCGTCCTAAGAACAATAGAATTAGGGAGTCCACCTATTTACCATAGAGATTGCAGTAACATTATAAATTTGTTATTTTGGTGCAAGAATCCATATGAGTTTAGCAATTCACATAAGGATGATAGTGGATTGAGTACAAAATAAGTATCTTATTCAGTTTCGTCAATTAATTACTTTTTTAAAATATCCTAATAGATAATGAGTAAAATATGAGTAAAATAGTATTATCCATTTATGCTGATGGATAATTTACTCATGATACAAGTATTGTTTTTTTTCACCCTATTAATACACATCTTTTACTCATTAACATTAAAAAAAAAAAAAACTAAAACATAAAATTTTAAAATAAATAAAAGACAAGAGCAATTTCTCTTATTGATGAATCAAAAACATAGTATTTATATATATGTGTGTGTATAGGTTGTATTTTTTTATTTGGTGTTTTTAGTCTAAATATTTTCTTAATATAACTCTAATAGGATGTCAATCAATTTTATGAAAACAATATGAAATTGAAAAAAATAGGAAATTATTATTTTTTGAAATTAATTTTTTTTTAACACGTGTCAGTCCACCTATTATTTATTGTCGAAAAATTAACCAAAATCTTATCAAAAGAGCACGTTAAGAAAAATATTTACAGTAAAAGGACCAAATAAAAAAATAAAAAATAAAGATAGCACATTAAAAAAAAACATAAAAGTACAATTTATTTGGTAACATATTATTTCATATAATAAGGCCAACATGATTACATTTTTCTGAAGCAGCAACTTCACAAAGATTAAAGATTAAATACTGAAATCCTTTTAATGTACATAAATCACAAAATGCAAATATAACTAACCATATAGAAAAATCTTATTACATAAAAAGAGTTTGTAACAAAAAAAATTCAATAAAAAAACTGAAAAAAAAAGTTTTTAATTTAAGGAAAAAAATTAAAAGGTAAATGGGTATAAACAGGATAGTATCATATAATAGGGATAAGTTGAATAAAAAAACGAATAAATAATTTTTAATAAATAATAAATATAATATTTTTCAATAAATAAATGTGGCAGCAAATTACATAAGATAGCTTTAGCATGCAAGTGGACCTTTGAAAAGAGACCTCATAAAATAATTCAATCCTTTCTTCTTGTATTACAAGACAACCTTGGATGATTTTTTCAACCAAGCAGAAAGGTTGGATTTCTTTCGTTGGATTCATGGACCCACCACTATAACTAGAAATCGAAGTTCAGAATTATGTGTTAGAGAGAGACCTGCTTCTTCATATATAACTAATTTTTATAACCCTCTTGCTTGCAGCATCATACTTTTATTTTTTTTCTGTGTTGGTTCAATAGGTAATGCTGATTAGGCATTTTTATGAAAATATATTGACTGAAAATACACTAAATTTGATGTTTTTTAAAATGATTTTGATATTAATTAGTATATCAAAATCATAAAAAAACATTCGAAAAAACGCTATGAAAAACATTTTCATATGGAACCTAAACACATTGATGGTAGTGTATGATGTTGAAGATAAATTGAGGTATAAATTTAAAATGAATAAGAAACCAGTGTTACTATCGAATATGTGTTTAGCCATCAAATATAAAAAAAGATAACAATATAGAATTTTATTGCTATGCACTAATTAATGTTAGCTATGGGATTAATTATATTTGCTTTCTTTCTCGATTTATTGAATTCAAAACTTAGAGACAAAATTCAAATAAATTTAACAAATTCTTTCAAATACATCATGTCAATAGAAATGATAAGTTTTTTTAGATTGATTGAAAAAAATTAAATCCCGATTGATTTATAAACCAGTTTAAATATATCCTTTTTGTTGAATAAAAATAAAATAAAATTGTCCATTCCTGCTACTTGACACATATTGTAACGTAAATAAGTATACAAATAAAATTTTGGTCGAAAGACGTAAAAAAAAACGTAAGTAAAGATTCATCGGAATGCAAGACTATGATCTAAAGCATAATGCAATTCTTGCAATTTTTTTTAATATTGTTTTGCTTTCTTCTTATTCTTCTTTATTTTTTAATGCAGAATAAGGCTGGGTCATGTACCCACATTTTTCGAACATCTCGCGAATAAGATAGTACATGATAGCTAATTTTGTTCATCAATTTTTTATTTTTTTATGGAGATTGTATCTAATGTTTAATCAATGATTATAATATTGCAAGTCGTAGCCTATCGCTGAGATTATCATAGAAAATATATATATATATATATATATAAACAGCTTGTAATAAGACAACAACAAGGCGTTGTTGATGTTATGAGCAAAAGCGTTATTTTTTATTATTTGATAAGTGACTGTCCTTTTCTGATAAGGACAGTTGCTCTGCCACTGTTTATGAATAGTGGAGACTGTTTTTTCTTTCTAATTATGGAAAACATTACGTAGTCTTCAGATTAAAGAAGACAAAAATTCAAGAAAGCTGAATCCTATTTTACAGCAGATTTCTCCATCACCTAGCAAAATCTAGAACAAAACAATTGGCAATATTATAAACGTATTAAGGAAAGAGAGGGGGGGGGGGGGGGGGGCGCGCGCGGGGCTAAATATGCCTTGAGAAAAGAATTTCATGTCATGTTACCGAGAGAAGACAGCAAAAATAAATGATCTGTGGAAGAGTTAATTTTCAAATAGATCTGGAAACCTGAAACGTTTCTCTTGAAGTTAATGCTTCTGTATGATATTCAGAATGGTGTAATTACTGATGTTAAAACAAGAGGGTGCTCATGATTGTTAGTAACCTGATCTAACCTGTTAAAAAACTATTTTAATCCAATAGGAAAGTTTCAAGACACTTTTATATATATTAACTCTAACAAAACCAAACAAAAAGAAGTACTAAGTACAAGCGAAATTTGCGTAGCAAAACCAGATAAATAGATAGAATGGTGGTGCCACTAGCAAATTTATAGCAAAGATGAATGGAACAAAGACCACCTCAGAGTCATGATCGAAGAAAAGAAAGAAACCAGAACAAAAACTGATTCTAGTAAACTGCAGGTAGTAAAGAAATACAGGACGTTCGAAAACCGATCATTTCATTTGTGCCTGGAATAGCTTCTTCTTCTTCTTCTTCTTCTTCTTCTTCAAACAGGAGTGCTCCAACAATCACTACCCAATAACCTGATTAGTTTTTTCTGTGCTTGAATTCCGAATTGCAGACCCTCTACTCCATCTTTCTCCACCCAAAAAAAGCTGACGCGATCACCTTCTCTTAGACCCTTGTCTTGCACATACTTAGTCCAACCTGCACAGAGGACTGGTTTGGGATGGGGATCTTTTTTCTTGTGGAACATTGGAATTTCCACAAGACATCAGTAATTATGTCAATAAAAACAAATTGTTTGGAGTGTTCTCCTTCAGGAATTTGGAAAATCCCGAAGCTACTCATTGGAATGGTCATCCTGCATTCAACATCTGTTTGCGAGAGTGTCTTGGTGAAGATCGGCTTCAGATGCATATCTAGCTGACAAATTTGGAAGATTCTAATTCTACTACAAATATAATTGGAAGCTTTAGACTAGTGTAGGGAGAATACCTTCCTTGAACACCTATTTATGGACGAGAGATGATTCTTGTGGGTCCATATGTATGCCTAAACGATTAATGATCTCCTTATCATAAACGAATGGATTTTTTTTTTTATTAGGCTTAATAGATTTATTGGGTTATATAATGGGAATAAGCCTTCTTATTACATAATCATAAAAAAAATCAAAATCATCAGAACTTGAATCTTATTTAATTATAAAAGTTAACGGATTATGTATAAATGGATGATTTTATTTAGGGTGACATAGCAATGAATATGAATATTTTTATAAGGTAACATTTATTTGAGACTTTGGTTTTAATAATGGGATGATAATATATTTTATATCTTTAATCTTCTAGATTGACATGCTCCCTTTCTTTGGATAATTTATTTGACAAAGCATTTGGGTGGGCATTTCACTTTACAATCTGTCATTTTGTAGACCATCCATTTTTCATCCTCTATTTCTTATCCGATAGTACCTTTCAACCTTCGTTAAAATATTATGGTCAAATTAAGAAATCATAGATGTCACGGTAAAAATATTTTGTAAAAAAAATATATATATATATATGTTGCTCTTATTATGCAAAATGCTGGCAAATTAACATTTCAAACTAAAAAACAAGAGAGAAGAAGATAGTGTTAAAAAGAGAAGAACAAAATAAAATTGGAAATTCCAAAAGAAATATGTAAAATAACTTAATGATAAATTTGCAGCAAATGCAGAGAATTCGATTAGTATTGTTTTGTTCGTGTTATGCTTTAACTGTTATAATGTGTTGAGTTGTGGTGTTGAAAAACGACTTACCAGAAGATTTTACCTACACTATATATTATTGGAGATGGTGCAATTTGTTGTTGTTTTCATGGTTTTCGAAGATGTTATTTTGCACTGCCTTTTAGGTCCTTTGTTTTCTTTTTTCCTTTTTTTTTTTTTTTGATTTGGGATTTATATTTTGTGGGACCTTAGCTTCTTCCATTATGATTCTATTTGTTTTTTTCCCTGGATCTTTGCTGTTTGAATGAATTTCTCTGTGTTATCATAAATAAATAATTTTTTTCTTAAAAAAAAGAAAGAAAGAAAACATAGTTCATATTAAGTATACCATAAGTGAACGATATCTTAAACATGTCTGATCATATTGAGTTTGAAGCCAATAAAAAATATAAATATTCCAATCGAAATTAGGTATTAAAAAATCATCTTAACCTGATATATTGTCATCTCTAAAAAATAATTCTACGTTATTTGCAATTATAAGATTTGAATATTTATTTACTAAAAAATAATATTGTTTACGGGAATTTTCAATAAGTGGTGGATGGAGAATTCAATCAAGATAAAAAATTTTATTTTATTTTATTTTATTTCTCGTAATTTTTTACTCATAGTCACATAATGAGGTAAAATTACATAATATTATTGTAAAATTCTCCGCTGTTAAAAATGGGTGGTGTTGAAAAATCACCTACCCCATCATCATCAAGAACATAATCATTCTAGTATCTCTATACCACTTGATTGAGGTCACTATCACGGTACAAAATTCAGACCTGGCTAGCCAAAGTTCTAATATATATAAACAGAGCATGCTCTGTTTTTTTTTAAAAAAAATCAAATATTGATATCAAAATTTAGAAAAATTATTAATTTATTTTAAATACAAACTAATATAGAAAACATAGTTTAAAATTGTCGTAGATGGACTGATGGACAATTAATCTTTATTGACATACAAGTTGGTTCTAAAAAATTCTTTACCATCAAAAAAAAAAAATGTGGGTCCAGAATCCTCCAAGCTTTTAGGCTGCCCCCGGGTGTTTACAGGGTTTCGTCGTTGTATATATATAACGTTTGAATTCAAGATTTTTTTGAAAATAAAAAAGATATCAATATGAATTGAGTTATATTTTATAAGCAAACCAAAATGGAATATTGCAAAACAACATAAAAATCATCAAAGATGGATTAAATGCCTAATACTATGGACCCGAGTTGATTCCAAAATTTAACGACCAAGCCCATGTTCAGGGAGTTTCTTCAAGCAGACTTGTTCCCAGATCACAGCCCATTTACCAAAGCAAGAATAGGCCCAACCCTTCTCAAAGAATCCCCAATGGGCACTAGTCCGGACCAATTTTCTTTTGGAGCAGGATTCGCTTGCATGTTATTGGTTTACCCATAATCATTACTTCATGTGGATCAAACCATCATGCAATTGGATGATATGCTCAATGCTTCTTAGTTTCCACTTTCCAGGGACTGCGTGCATCCTGTAAAATTTAGAAGATTTTTTTGCGGCAATTGGTTAGGTTTTATTTGAAATTAATTATGAAAAATATTTTTTTGGCTTTGAGTAATAATTCAATTTTTTTTATTTTATAAATAATTTATGAAAAAATAGTTAAACTAGAAGTATATTTATTAAAGTTACGTTTGGTCTAACTTTTGCAAATTGATTTAATCAAGTTGTTTTTTTTACTTAAAAGAATTATAAGCATGTTTGGTTAGAAATAAATTTTGAATTAAATCAAAGTTCGTTGCAAAGTTGAGTCAAAATTGTGATTTAATTGATAGTTAAAACTTTTAACCTATACTATTTTTTTTAAAAAAAATAAAATTGTTTTAAGTCATTTTTACCAAACATACTCTCAACTTAAAGATATTTTAACTTATTTTGTGACAAGTTATTTATGAAAAAACAATTTATGAATTATGACTCAAAATTAAAAGTTATTTTTCCAAACGAAACCCTAAAAAATGATTCAAAACAACTTTTTTGAAAAGTTTAGATGCTATAAATTAAAATCAACGAGTTGAAAATTGAAAATACTAAGTTTTGGTTATAACAAAATCTTGACTCAAATTTATAACAATCTTTTGATTTTAGTAAAAACTATTTCTAATTGAACATTATTTACGACTGTTCTACGAGTTAAAAATTAAAAAAAATTTAAATCTATTTTTAAAACTCGTACCAAACAGGATCTTAGTTATATTTTTTGAACTTTAATTTGAAAAGGAGTTGTCATCGTAAAAAATTCTTATTTTGAAAATTATGTTTGTTGGATTTGGATAAGGATGGACCGGTCATGGAGTAATCCAATCCAAGATTGATGCTAAATTGGTAAAACAAAAGATGCAAATAATGGGTTCATCCTAGAAAGTTGGATGATATTCTAGTCATCTAGATCTTTTAAAATAAAGTTAAATAATTTTGACATTAGTTCCATAACATTCTCTATCCTTCATCATGCTATATTGAAGGTTGTATTATGAAAAATATATACATTAAACAAATCCATCCCCAAAAATTTAATTTTTGCGGAATCCGCATGCTTATATCCAACTCGATTAGATATAATCAAAAGTAATTACAAATTTAGATTGTGGAATTATAAATCATACCCCCATCTTGTAATACTTCATGCAATTATATATAAAAATCAGAAATTCGACCTTTTTGGTGTACTGAGTCATGGAAATTATTGCTTGGTTTTCAAGATTAATGGAAAAATGGATTTGGTTGCATATTGGCATAGAACAAGATTTAATGGAATACAAGTAGTGTTAAAAAAATGAAAAATGTAACTAAACCAACATAAAAAAGATAAAAACAAATAAAGTAATGACAAGAAATTTTCTTATGGAGGATGAATATAATTTTTTTAATATAAATTTTGAAATTTTTTTATTCAAAAATAAAATCAAGTTATATACTGAAAACATTTTGGACGTGCGTTTCACAAAGAAAGGAAATCATTGACGTGTATATATAAATTTTGTAGGTATTCAGTAAGGGAAAAAAAATTAATAAAATCAAATATTCAAAAAAGTAAAGAGAAATATAGAAAAAAACAAATGAAAAAAAAATCTAATTTTCACAATGTTTTTCTTACAAATAAATAATTAATTGAGGACCGAAAAGGCATTGCTCTCGAGCAGCCCGATCAAAAAGAGAAGGGAAAAAAAAAAAAAGCTTTAGAGGGATGTATCATCTGCTACTGGATGAGGCATAGCTTGTTGGGCTACTCTCCTCGTCTCGATCCTTCAATGACTTTTTTTTTAACAAAAAAAAAAAACTTCTCTTGTCCAAATCAACCAAGAAAATATTTATATACAATAGAAAAGCTATCTATTGGGCAAAATATGAAAGATGCTACTTTTGGTGGGAGACAATTTAAAAAAAGAAGAAGAAGAAGAAGAAGAAGAAGAAGAAGAAGAAGAAGAAGTCTACTGGATTTATCGCACGAAATGAGCATGTGATTGTGTCTTTATGATCGATCATATGATAAAGTTATTGGAATTGTGGCATGGTACTAATTAATATATTTTGTACAAAAAAAAAGCATTAAATGATTAAAAAGGCTCCTATCTTGATAAGATGCGTACAAAGAAATGTTAGATATTAGATAGGATAGAAAGAAGTGGACCTTTCAAAAGACCTAGCTAGCTCATAAAAAAAGTCGAACCATTTCTTGTTTCTTTGATTTTAAGTAGTGCGAAACAAGTGAGACAGCGTTCGATGATTTTCAGCTCTTCTCGAAGAAGAAAGGTTTGGCTTTTCTTTCTTTGAATGCATGGTATCTGGACCCCAGTTTCACCCATGTTCAACGGGACAGAAGAAAGAAGTTGAAAGAACGTAAAATTTACAAAAGCGGATATAGTTGAACAATTGTATATTTTATATTTTTTTTAAAGAAACATATTCAATTCTTAAGAACTTTAATTATTTAGTTATTATGTAATGAATTATTTTTTTTATTATTGTGTAGCTCAAAACTTACACATTTCCTATAAATTTTTTTTTAAAAAAAAGAGTTTCAAATCTCAGTTAGAGACATGAGCCATGAGCCATCAGATTAATTAATTCATTAAAGGTAAAATATCAATTATGCAAGCTACTTTATACATTCGACAATATAAATAAATACTTAAAACACTGATTGAATCATAAATAAATAAAATAAAATCTTGATTGAATGATGCTAAAACCTAAAAGCATACACTGATTTGTTGGGTGTTCTTTGGAGAAGTAAGGCTTTTTCGCTCGATAACTGGCGCAAACCTTCCAACTCGAAAGTACATCGTCATTTGGTAGGACCATATTCCCTCCGTTTTTCAACGTCTCACGATGTGATGTTCCATGATTGTCCCTATTGTTCTTCAATATTTCCAAGAATGACTGTACCCATTACTAGCCCAATGACTATGATGACGTGTGTGTATATATATATATATATTGCTTGACTTTGGAGGCATTAGTTATTATCGAATGTTTACTGGAAAAATCAGTAGCCGGAACTGTATAACGTTTGTCTCTCTCAAACTGGGTGTCCTTTGCCAAATAAATTGGAATATTTTTATAATATAGACTAAAGCTAATTTTATAATTAAATATTTTCTTTCAAAATCAAGATGATGAAAATTATAGATATTAGTGATCACTAATCAAGAAAGAATAAAAATGGAAAAATAATTTAGGTAGAAAAAATATGAATTTTATCATTAAATAAAAAAATTATGGTCGATAATTTATGTAAAACTTTTAATTTTACCCTTGATTAAATTTAGGTAGACAAAATATGAGTTTTCTCAAATTTTACTACTTTACTTATTTATCAAAAATTAAATTCAAATAGTTTTTTATTCAACTACATTTGATTTTAGAATAATGCAATAAATACAATAAAATTATATGAATTGAAACAATATATATTTTTTTAATCTATATGAAAAGTCGAATAGGATTTATTTGAAACCATGATCGTTGCTCAAGAAGAAAAGGCACAAAAAGCAAAATTGGATCTTTCAACAGATTTCTCTGTCAGCTTTGTCACCTAGCAAATATTACAGCAAAAATAAAACATAAGAATATAATAACAATATTAAACACAGTTGGTTTAAATATTGACTTATCGATGTCTGTGATTTCTGAAGTGTTTTTGATCGGTTGTTTATATATATATATATATATAACTAAAGTCGCGCGATAACGAACGACGAATGGACTAACCCACGTTATTGACTGGCGAAATTAGAAAACTATAGTCTCATACGCTTATCTTGCATTTCATCCACTTATACCCCACATACTTGGGCCCACAAACTTTGTGGGCCCAAATATTGGGGGTGCAACTGCTATAACTAGCGACTCATGACGATCATAGCATTGCTTTAGATGTCGACCCCTTTTTCTAAAATTAAATAATTGTTGAAGGGAATGATTTTATAAATATCAAGAGTATTTTGGATATAAAAATGGTGTTTCTGATTTTTGTTTAAACTTGAGGTGGTTTCTGTCAAAATTTTTAACGTTTAGATGATGGATGCAATTTTATAATATTATTAGATTTTTGTATAATTTACTCGAAACATAAATATATATATTCTAAAACTACAAAATTAGTTTTTTCAATCAAATAAAAAAAATCTAAAACTTTTTGTCCACCAAACGGTTTTTTAGGCATCATAAGCAGGTCATGAAACACAGAAAAGGTTTCAATTGACATATAATTGTTTTCTTACATGTAAACATTTAATATGCTGTAATTGTATAAATGCTGATTTACAAAGCCAAAAGCAGCCAAAAAATTTCTCTTCTAAAAAGTGCCCATTGACTTTTTTATTCTTCGAAAATCAATCTGCTTCTAAAAAATTATTAATTATTATGTTATATTAATATTTTTTCATATCTTTATTATAATTACATTTTATAATTTTATATAAATAAATTTTAATGAAAAATATTTTAATAAAATATATCTCTTAAAATTTTCACCCAATAAATATTTTAAATATATATAAATAAAAAGTTAGACCATCTCTTCAAGACAGTGAGAATAAAAGATATTGAAAATTTTTATCGCTCTACTCTGAAAATTAACTTATGGTTCTATAAGATGCTATCAATTTCTTTTATTGACAAATAAATAAATAACGGTCGATTAGTTCTTGTTTTCATTTAACTGTGTTTTAAATTTGTTTCTATCGGTGTGATGGGTCAATGAAAAAAGAAATCTATTCAAATTAGCTGATCAGTTCACCACGCCACATTAATGCCAACATATTCTTAATTAACTTTTCAAAAAGATTCAAGCACACCTTAATTCAATAATATTGTTATCCCTTCTTTTCTTTTTTTAGTTCAATTATGTCTCAATCATAGTTGGTGATATGATGGTACGTACATAAGCTGTATTTTTTTTTATCATATTCTTTACTTCTACTCAAAATCTGTTTTTTTTGTTTTTGATAACATGAATAACATTGAATTCATTATATATATATATATATATTCTTTAATTCTCCCTTCTTGTGAATAGGTTGCTAGTCGTAATCAATTTGACTAAGTGATTGCACAAACCAGGACGATTCGTGCGATTCATATGAATTGAATCCCACATGACCGGACGAGTTGCATGGATGGTCCCAATTTCTAGAATCGTGAGTCATGACAGTACTTGGATTGGTTCTTGTCTCTAGAGAATTATTTTGTATCATATTTTTTTATGAAATCAAAAGCAACAAATCGTGAAGAAAAAACGAGCGAAAAGTCTCTAGAATCCCACAACCCCTAGCAGCTTGTTTCATAAGTCAGTGATAGATAATCTTTAAAAAATATTGTCTAATGCTATAAAAAAAATGTATTATTTTATTATGATGCGACTGCAGAGATGAAACTTGTCTCTAGCTTCTTTGTTCTTGGTAACTTAATTATTACGTTTGAGAAGGTAAGAATAATCCGAAATATTTTAACAAGCAACAACAATCACCTGAAATTGATAATGATTTATTAAAAAAAAATCACTTTATAAATTTGGTATAGATTTTTATTCGATGTAGGATTTTTTTTAAGATATATATTATTTTATTTGTTTTATACATGTTTTGATTGACATATAACTTAATTCGAAAATATTTTTATTATTGAATAATAAAAAATTATATTATATATGTCTGCAAACTCCGACATAACCAACAAAAAAAATGATTGTAAAGAAAGGCTAGTTAGTTAATGCTTGGGGTATCTATAGTTTCTATACTAACCCTTATTGCTATTTGCTAGATTGAAGATAAAACACTAGGCCGAATACTTCTCCTTAGCTATCATGGTCCAAACTTCGGTCTTTTCATTCATTTTTTTTTTCTAATATAGATGAAATTTTTTTAATAGATGTGGGAAATTATACTACTAGTAGGAAGGTGCACGTTCACACACACATATATATATTTATTTTTTATTTTTTTATTTTTTTATTTTTTTGAGGACAAGAATATATTGACCACATCATAAAATATTCATCTAATAAAAGTTCGCAAGTGAGAAGGTTTGTGGGCTGGGTTGATAATTGATCGATATCACTTGCTACCTAACGCGAGACCGTGCGTGAACATATCTTTAATTGGTAAAACATAGAGCTTGTCATGACGATAAACTATTAACTCGCCCGATGATCCAGCCGACAATTAAAAAATTCATTAAAATAATCAGTGGGGTCAGAGAGGGATCGACAGAGACATAGAAGTAAGAAGATGCTGACGATCCATCACACTCAACTTACAATCAGCCTTCAGCCATTGTCGAATGATCATTTACCAACGTACTGAAATCTAATTCTCTATCTTCTAAGCATTAATTCTAACGAAAAAGCTGTGCTTAATCTACACATTATCTGGGAACGAAGAAATTAACAGAAAATTCTCAAGTTATATTGAAAGGCAAAATTGTATTAAGAAGTAGAAAATGTACAGCAAAAGTTCATTGCTAATATAAGGATATCTCAACCCTTTACGTTAATGAATTACAACGTCGAAGCCCTATAGGTAGCTAATCAGTCTGATAGGGAAAAATGGAACTCAATCTTGTTCATCGATATCGCAGACAATCAAAAGTAAACATTTCAACTAAAGTATGCAAAGACCGGCCACTTCAAGAGCCCCAGCTAAAAACAGCAGTGGAATCACAGCTTTAATGCAAGCATTGCAGAAGCTAAAAGATTCCGTCCTTAAGACTTGCACTATACTCACCAATCGAGCTGCTTTCATCTTATTGATTAGCTCAAACAAGCCCAATTGTTTGATCAAGCAGGCTATAGATATAGCACTTGATCACTTGTTTTGAGAATCGAAGTTGTTTTCTTAACCTTGATTTTGAAATGTCCTCCGGCAGCTATATCCTTCTCTTCATCCAAGACGATTATGATTACATCGCCGATCCTGAGACCCTTTATACGAACAAATAAAAACCAATCCCCAAAAAGGGCTGGTTTTGAATGGCTTCCTGGTGGGACTCTACAACGAAATGTCCACACTTTTCCATCCTCGTCTTTAAACTCCAAATTTGCCTCATGGCCTATCGGGAAATCCTTTAGATAGTTTTCTGGAAGCAACAGTCTTCTCTCAATATCAGTATTGTTGAGTTTTTTCGTGAAGATTTCCATTGCTTATCTGATTTTGTATTTTTTTTTTTTTTTGGAAGAAGTAGATGAGCAATTGATGAGAAGTTTCCCTTCGCCAGAGGCTTTATATTCAATTTTCTGACTTACTGTAAATTGTGATTGATGGAAATAAAATAATCAACATTCAATATTATTATTTTACAACAAAAAAATAGTTCAATGTTTCTGCAAGATGTCCCTTTCAAGGATCCAAAAATGCACGGAACTATCATTTTTTTGACATTACTATAACTTCTTTGTATGGATCGCGCGATCATTAACGAGATCTCAGACATGTTTGTCGATGAAGATGATGGTCTTTTCGAATTCTTGTACCAAAAGTGAAGAGGTAGGCTTACTAGGTTGTTGAGCCACTAACCCATACTTTCTTTTTTCTTTCTGGACTAGCCCAAGTCCACTAACAGAATCCCATTTTCTTTCCTTTTCATTTTCTATCGAAACACCCTCTCTCTCTCTCTCTCTCTCGGGTGTCTCTTCTTTCTCTTTCAGTACCCAGAAAGCTTCTCTTCCCTCTTTCATCTATTTCATCATTCAAGACCCAAAAAACCTACTGAGATTGAGATGATCTCACCCTTAGAACCACCTCTCTCTCTCTCTCTCTCTCTCTCTCTCTCTCTCTCTCTCAGAATCGAACTCCAAGACATTAGATCTCTCTCTCGTTCATCCTCATCTAACAATAGGCCGTTCACTCGAACTTGATCCTGTCGTTCACTCCTAAATTTCAATTTGTTCCCTGTGAATTTAATTGTATGTAATCATATCCTTTTGATATGTAATTTTAGTCTCCGTGAATTATAATTTTGTCAATTGGGTTCATGTAAAGTATGATTTAGGTTCTGAATTTTCTCATTGATTCGATTGTATCCTTAATTGTCTTAATTATATTTTTGTTTGATTCAATTTTACCCCGTGACATAACTAATAAAATTTTTGTATTATATATATATATATATATATATATATTATTTTACTCTTTTTTTTGGTGATAAATTCTTAAAATACAGTAAAAAAGAAAATAAACTAAAATGAAATAAATAAAACAAAATAAATAAATGGGTAAGATTTTTTTTTTTTTTGCTTATGACAAAATTGATGGATGGTGATGAATTTCAAAACTCATACAACTCTTGTTACATGTGTTTGTGTTTTATATAATGTTCAAATGGGGACCCAAAATTAAAAAGAAATTAAAAGAGATGGGAGTTTTCAATAGTGAAAAATTCATTGTTCCTCCTCTTACAATTTACTATTCATAGATTGTAGATTAGAATGGTATTTTTGGGATTTTTGAGCTTTTTTGGATATTTATATATGAAGTTTACATAATATTTTATTTTGGTTCTTAAAGTTTTAAAATAAAAATTTAGTCTCCTAGGTTGTTTGGTCTCTTCGCCTGCTGCATTGGGCTTACGGTAGGGCAAGGCCTCTTTTTTTTTTCCCCAGTTTTCTTTTTTATTTTTTCCCATCAATTTATATTTTTTAAAATGGAATTAGATGTGAAAATTATAAAAAAAATGATATTTTTATTCTCTTTCTTTTTTTCCCACTAATTTGTGTTTTTTTTTTAAATTATTGAATTGGTTATGAAGATTATAAAAAAGCCCATTATTTTTTCATAAAAGTTGATGGTGTATATATATATCTCTTCACTTTGTCATTTTTTTAAAAAAATTCTCATCGGATTAATTTTTTTATTCTTTTTTTATGTAATTTTATTTGTTAATAAATATGATTTATTTTTTCTTATATATGGATTTTTGAATATTTTTTTTAGTTTTTTTATTTTCTTATTTTTTTATATAATCGAATTTTAAAAATAGAATTCACGTGTTTTATTTACTTATTCTTTACATAATCAAATTTTGTTGAAATTAACTTTTTTTTTTTTATTGCACCCTACTTACCTCAACATATGTTTTTTTAAAAAATCAGTTTATGCTGCACACTTTAATCCAATAAATACATTCATCATATATATAAAAAAAATATTAAAATTAATTAATTTTAGTAAAAATTAATTATACATCTACACTCCTACCAATCTTTCTAACTTTCTTGGGATAGCATGAGGTAATTATGTTCACCTACTAAGTCTGGACTTTTGAGCATATAGGTTCATTTTTTAAACCAGTAAAACATTTTTTTTATGAGCATTAAATCTATATAATATAAAAACATTTTAACAAATATCATTTTACGATTATTACAGTTACAACTATAATTATATCATAACAAAAGCCACGGCTAAAAACCATAAGTTTTTCAGATGGATAAATTTCATTATCATGTTTTTTATGTTTTTCATTATAAATAAAAGTTTCGAAATTGGAAATTTTGGAACATGGAAACCTACGTCAGGCTGCTAGAACATGCACAAGTCACAAAGGTTGTCACCAATGCTTAATCGAGAGAGAGGCTTGAGCCACCGTTTAGCTAACGGAAGGGGGGTCCACTTTACGAAGAGAAGAATAGACATTAGTGGGACCCACCACATGAACGAGAAAAAAAATTCGGCTTCTGATTTTTTTCTTTTTTCTAATAAGTCAGCTTTATATGATAAGACCCACGGGTCCCACGCATACGAATTCTTAGATTACAGAGGATGATTGTTTCTCATGAACCGAACAGCTTTGTCGTCGTCGAATGTTTTCGTGCGTTAGGCCATGCGAGCGGAGTTTATTTTTATAATAAAGCACTGTTAAATATTATTTATCAAAATAAGATATTTTATATCATATAACAACTATCTTATCTGTATAACTTGACATGTCAATTTTTTTTATAAAATTATTTTATTAAATAAATATTTTATCATCATATATTAATTTTTTATTTTTTAATATTCTCTTTGTATTAGTCTCTTCTTCGCCTTCTTCTTTTGTTATCTCTCTCTATCTTTTTTATATGTAAATAAGTCACAACAATCTGCTCGAAAATATATCCACTTGCTGTAATCGTTTAAAACTATATATATAATTGCTATCCGTTTTCTCTGATAAGGTTAGTTTGTTCTTATACGAGCACGGTACAATTTAAAATCATATAAGACAAAAATTCAGCTTTCCCGACAAGGAATCTGGAACCATTTCAGTATTTAACCAAAACGATCCTTTTCTTTTCCACATCCAACTTGTGTCATGATGTCCATCAATGCAAAGGAGCAATTAATAATGGAATTGCAACCAGTAGTTAATGTCTAGATTTCAATTGTTAAACCAGAAAAAAAAAAAAAAAAAAAACCCAAATGGAATTCAATCTGCAAATTATGGTCACGTTGGTCACCTAACAGATCCACCCTCATTATATTCAACACCAGCTCATGTTGGTTTCAAATCAATAAGCTTCTCCGAGATTAAAATAATAATTATAATAATCTATAAAAGTGAATACAAAGAGAAGAAAAAAAAGAAACAGTAGAAAGAGAGAGGAAGAGAGAGAAGAATGGTAGAAGAAATTAGATCCAAAACAAAAAATTTAGAAGAACAAAGAAGACGAAAAAAAGGGTTTTTGAGACGGTGGTAACCTCTAAACTTAAAAAGATAAAAGCTTTTTTATTTTTATTTTTAAGAAAAAAGATCTTAGTATTTTTATATTTTTTTAATTAATAAAATATCTAAAATAAAGATGAAGTTATTTAATATAATAAAATTATTTTTTAAGAATTAATAAAAAAATTGATGTGGCTAAAAAAATTTATATGGTAAAAAAAGGTTTTTATTTAAAAAATAAGTTTAAAAATATTTCAATTAAGGAATAAAGATTCAAGAATATATTGATTTAGAAAAAAACTCCATGCGGGGGCGATGATGCTAAATTTGGTAACATACTAATATGGATATTAAATTCCAATCATTTATTGGATTTTTTTTATTTGAGTTTTTCGATTGCGCGAAGGCATTCGTAGATTCTATGCTCTTGCGTAACAGAAGAACTTGGTCGTGGTGACGTATGGACAGCTTTGGCCCTCAACGTCAGCACCTCTACCTAACGCCTAAAAGTTCAAAAACTTCTACATCTTCGTAAATCACAACAATAACTTAAAAAAGAGAGAAAAAATATACTACAAATATCGAGTAAATTATAAATTAGTCTCTTCAGTTTAACAAAATGAATTAAATAATTTTTTATTTTAAAAAATAATTAATTAGTATTTTAACTAATGTTGATCATGATTAATTTAATATTACTTTATTTCAAAAAAATATCTTATTTTTCAATATTAATTACTTATTTTTTTCTTTTTCTAGTTTGTAAAAAAAATTGAAAAAAAAAGAAAATGATTGAGTTCCAGAAGGATTTAAAAGAACTAAAAAGGATTAATTTACAAAAAGATTTAAAAACATAGGGACTAATTAATTAGTTTTTGAGAATCGAGTAACTATTTAATTGATTTTATAAAACTTGAAGGACTAATTTATAATTTACTCCACCGTGGGTGGACGTAAAGGGTATTTTAAGGCTAGCTCATGTGTAAATCGAAACTCCATTTTTGTTTGAATGATCTTAAGAACACACTTTCTACAATTCCTATGCTTTCAGAAAAATTAAATAGACTCCCCTAAATGCTGGCCTCGAGGTTCGAAGTCTCCTTAAAATCTCATATCGGCTTGATGAAATTTATTAAATTCTCGTAAGTGTTGACCCTAAAGTTAAAAGTGAAAGAACAGAACAAACCCTTTTTAGCCACTAGAGCAGCCCTTTGAGGTTAAATAATTCAAATTGATAACTGAATTTCATTAAAACAGTTAGTATGTAAAAAAAGAAAAGAAAAAGTCGAGAAAAGTGATACACATATACTTGAGAATAATTAAACTGTGTTTGTGGAGGGGAGGTTTTTGAGAACAAGCCAATGACAGGTTAACAAATTGATTAAAGTATGAAGAAGTTATTTTATTTATTGTTATTATTTTTTTACTCATGCATCCAAAGCTCTTAACGGACTTTAATCGGTGACTTCTTGTTGTAAAAAATCATTATTTAAA